TTTCATGCTCTACTATAGAACAATAATAATAAAAACATCTTCGATAGGCATAAAAGCAGACACATTGATCAATGGAATCAAATCAAAGATGCTGTTATTAATCCACATCCCTAAAAACATCTGATTTTTAACAAATAATCCAAAATTATACAATGGGAACAAGAAAGAATCTTTAACAAATAGTGCTGGCATACCTGGATATCTACATGTAGAAGAATTCAAATAGATTCATATCTACTGTCATGCACAAAACTCAATCCAAATGGATCAAAGACCTCAACATAAATCCAGTTACACTGATCCTCTTGGAAGAGAAAGTGTTAAGTATCCTTGAATGCACTGACACAAGAGACTACTTCCTAAATACAACACCAGTAGCACAGACACTGAGATTAACAATTAATAAATAGGACCTCCAGAAACTAAGAAGCTTCTGTAAGTTGAAGGACACTATCAATAGGACAAAAAGGCAGCTTACAGAATAGGAAAAGATATTTACCAATCCCACATTTGACATAGGGCCGATCTCTAAAATATATAAAGAACTCAAAAAACTAGACATCAAAATATCAAATAATCCAATAAAAATGTGGAACAGAACTAAACAGAGAATTCTCAACACAAGAATCTCAAATTGCAGAAACACATTTAAGGAAGTGTTCAACATCCTTAGCCATCAGGGAAATGCAAATCAAAGTGACTCTGAGATACCATCTTATGCCTGTCAGAATGGCTAAGATCAAAAACACTGGTGACAGCTTATGTTGGAGAGGATGTGGAGAAAGGGGAACACTCCTCCCATTGCTGGTGGGAATGCAATCTCATTCAGCCACTCTGGAAAACAGTATGGCAGTTTCTCAGAAAATTGGGAATCAACCTACCTAAAGACCAAGTAAAACCACCATTGGGCATATATACAAAAGATGTTCAGTAACACCAAAAGCACATTTACTCAACTATGTTCATAGCAGCATTATTCATAATATCCAGAACCTGGAAACAATCTAGATGCCCTTCAGCCAAAGAATGGATAAAGAAAATGTGGTACATTTACACAATGGAATATTACACAGCATTAAAAAACAATGTCATCATGAAATTTGTAGGCAAATAGATGGAACTCGAAAAAATCATCCTGAGTGAAGTGTGGTGGTATTTTATTTGTGATGAAATGTGATATTTTATTTATATGTTAATAAATAAAGTTGCTTGGAGATCAGAGGTCAAAGAGCCATTAAGCAGAGGTCCGGCGGTGGTAGCACACACCCTTAATCTGATCACATGGCAGACAGAATCTCTGTGTGGTCAAGGAAACAGCCAAGGTAGTGGCAGGTGCCTTTAATCCCAGTACCAACCATAGAGACCTAGAGGTCTGCATAGACAGGCAGTGATGAGGAAGTCATGTGGCTGGGCTTAGAGCCAATGAGAAGGCAGAACAGAAAGGCAATAAAAACACAAGTCAGGCAGGAAGAAATCTCTCTCTGGGGGAAGCTACTGCTGGTGGTAAGATAAAGCTAGTCATGGCTCTCTGATCTCTTTGGCTGTTATCTCAATATTTGGCTCTGTGTTTCTTATTTACTAAGACTGTTTAGAATTTTGTCTACAGTAACCCAGATCTGGAAAAGTAAACATGATATATACTCACTCATAAGTGAATTTTAGTTATAAGGCAAAGGATAACCAGGCTACAATGCTAACCGCAGAGAAGCTAGGTAAAGAGGAGGACCCTAGGAGGGATACTTATAGATTGCTCCAGGAAAAAGAAAGCGTTAAAATTTCCTGGATAAACTGGGAGGGGGAGTTGAGAGGAGGGGATGGGAGGTGGGAACATGAGTGCTCGAGATGGCCAAGTAGGGGGAGACATGAGGAGGGGGAGCAATGAAAGAGATATCTTGACAGAGTGCACCATTAAGGGGATGGGGAGAAATTTGAAGCTAGGGAAAACACTAGGAACTTACAAGATTGTCCCCAGCTAAGACTCAGAGCAATGGTGGAGAGAGTGCTTGAACTAGCCTTCCCCTGCACTCAGATTGGTGTCTATCCTAATTGTCATCATAGCACCTACATCCTGTGACTGATGGAAGCAGATGCAGAGACCCACAACCAAGCACTTGACCAAGATTCTAGAGCTCAGTTAAAGAGAGAAAGGAAGGATTACAGGAGCAAGTGGGGTCAGGATTATGATAGGAAAAACCACAGAGGTAGCTGACCCAAGTGAGTGGGAGCTCATAGACTCTGGACTGAAAGCTGGGGAGCCTGTATGGGACCACACACACCCTCTGAATATTGGTGACAGTTATGTGGCTTAATATGTTTCTGGGTCCACTGACAATGGGACCAGGACTTATCCTAGGTAAATGAACTAACTTTTACAGCCCATTCCCTATGGTGGGATACCATATTCAGCCTTGATGCAGGTAGGAAGAGCTAGGTCTAGCTCCAACTTGGTAATCCAGCCTATGTTGACTACACAAGGAAGGCCTCACCCACTATGAGGAGGAGATGGTGAGGGATGGGGAGAGGTGGGGGAGTGGGAAAAGAGGAGGGAGGGAGAACAGGGGAGGCATGTAAAAGGAAAGAAAAATATTTTAATTTAAAAAATTATAAAAAAGGAGCCCTCAGTAGCTTTTTCAGGCAGTCAAAGACTATTGCAATATGCAAAGTCTTTAACAGATAGATTGCACACAAAAAGATTTACTCCTATATAAAGTACAAAACTTTACCACACTGACTATGTTATAGGGTTTCTCTGCAGTTTGATTTTGTGTCATGATTTTGAAGATTACTGATGCAGGAAAAAGCTTTTCCACACTGATGACATTCAAAAGGTTCTCTCCAATATGTGTTCTTTTAAGTATTTGAACAGTATTATGATATGCAATGAATTTACCACACTGATTACACACATAGGGCTTCTATGCAGTATAATTTTTCATGTTTTCAGTGACTATTGTGACAGAAAAAAAGCTTGATTGCACTGATTACGTTCATAGGGTTCCTCTCCAGGGAGTGTTCTTTTATGCCTCTGAAGTCTACACTGATATACAAAGGTTTTACAATACTGATTACAAACAGGGTTTTTTTTGGAATATGTGTTCAAGTATGCATTTGAAGAGTACTGAGATATGCAAAGGCTTTACCACAATCATTACATTCATAGGGTTTTCTCTCCAGTATGGGTTCTTGTATGCCTTTGAAGAGTACTATAACCTGCAAAGCATTTACCAAATTGATGGCATTCATAGGATTTCTCTCCAACATGTGTTCTTTTATGCCTTTGAAGAGCACATGACATACAAAGGCTTTACCAGACTAATTACATACCGAGAGTTTCTCTGCAGTATAGGTTCTTTCATGTTTTCAGTGACTAATGTGACAAAAAAGCTTGAGTGCACTGATTACATTCATAGTTTTCCTCTCCAGTAAGTGTTCTTTTATGCCTCTGAAGACTATTGTGACATTCAAAGGCTTTAAAACATTGATTACGGGCGGAGATGAGCAGACGCAGGTAGGCCTGTGGCGGCGGACCGCGGAGGTGGACGGGCCCAGGGATGGAGACGGGCAGAATCAGCTTGGAGCGGGGACGCCCTTGGCCCCAGTGCCTGAGGAGGAGGCTATCTCCGTGGGTCGGAGCCGGAACGGAGTCTGAACACTCCGTCTGAGGACAACCCAGGGCCCAACTGCTGATCCTGTGAAACTCAACAACTTGGAGGTGTTGGTGAGACTACCCTGCTCAGCTGAAACCCATCTGGGAGAGGATTCAGATCCCTACAGTTTGAAGTCTGAAGAAACAAGATCAGCTGAGGAGTTGACAAATGAACAAAACGTGAACTGGGAACACAGAAGAAGGAGCTACCCAGCCACCAAACCAGATCACCAGAATCATAAGTATATAATTCACCGACTGAAATCAGCTGCCCCTGAAGAAATAGCCCAATAGCACCAATTTAACCAAGAAACCCTACTAAACCAAGACTAAAAATTAGAACAAGAGA